AAACACTCCAAAATTGTAGATTTGCAAAATTAATATATTAGTTTAATTTTTCTGTTTTGTTATTTATGGCAGCCTGCTAGTTGTCCCCCAACATCTTTTCACCCCTCCTTCCACAGTAATAGTAACCCTGTACCATGACCACCAAGAATAAAAGCTATATTTCCAGCTTCCTTTGCAGCTGTGTGTGGCCATGGGTTTAACCAGAACTGTTGTATGCAACTTCTGAGAAACGTTCTTAAACTATGGGGTCATGCCCTTCTGTCTTTCTTCCTTCCTGCTGACTGGAATACAGTTGGAGCTCTAGAAACTATCTTGGACAAAGAGGAAATCTTGAGGATAGAATGTTCACATGGTAAAGCAAGAAGGCGGGAGACTGGATTGCTAACACCTTGGAGCACCATTCCAGCTGTAGACTTGCTACCTCTAGACTTCTTGTATATGAGAGACAAACTTTCCATCTTGCTTATTATTATTTTAGTTTATTCTCGGTTGTGTTTTTTCTGTTATTTGTAGCTGAACCAGGTCCTAATTCATTATCCCTGCCCTGGCCTCTTGATTGCTAATGCTGATGCAGACTTGACTGGGTGATATGATCCCAACTGTCATGTACAAGGCAGGGGCAAGTAGATGTCATAACCTTGAGATGGATTCCTCAAGTACACAGCAGCCCACTACCACCAGGCAGCCCAGCAGTTACCTAAGTGATAAGTCCAAATAACACTAGCTAATCAATAAGATTCAGAGACTTTGCTTTTTAAAGATTTTGCTTTAAACTTTTAGTTTTAAGAGATTTACCCAATTTCACTTCTTTCACATCTCATTTCTGGACTGGGTACCTTGCTTGCCAGAATAACTTTTACACTTCATGCTCAATTACTCACTCTTTGGCCTTTAATTGTCTATTTCTTAAAAAAATACTATTCACTTTTAAAAACATTAAATTGTTTTAAAAGAGTTTTAATGACATGGTCTGTGGGAAAGCTATCTTTTATATATCTGATGAAATTGCTAAGGAAAATATATTTCTAGTATTCCTCACATATAAGAAAAGAGATAATTATTAGTCTTTGACAATTATATGTTGATGCCTTATAATTGTGGTAGTTATATTCACATGGGGCCACAAGTACTTATAAAAGTCTTTACATTTTCTAGAAGAGTCAAAAATTCTAAATATTATATGGATAATAACAGGTAACATTTATTAAGTATTATCATTCAATGTTCCTCATAACCCTACAAAGTAGGTACTATTATTAACAATGAGGAAATCGAAGCACAGCCAAAAGTCACCAAGTAGTAAATGATGGAACTGAGATTCAAACACTCAGAGCTTTTACTCTGGGCTTTTTTTTGGGGGGGGGTGGGTGAGAGTGGGAGGGTGGTATACAACTTTTTAATTTCTCAAAGTGCTTTTAATATTTATTTTATTAGACATAAAGTAGAGAATATAGACTTTTTGGATAATTAGAAGAATGCCTCTTGCCTCAGCTATCCACACTCTTGAGGTTGACATATTTTCTGTTCAAATTAATGTTAATTTAGTTAACAGCTTAATATTAGTTATCTTGCGTGTATAGAAATAAAACCATAAAATTAAGGAAGATGTGGTATATATACATATTTGCATACAGCTTTTTTTTTTTTTTAAAGATTTTATTGGGGAATTGGGGGAAGGAACAGCATTGGGGAATTGGGGAAGGGGAACAGACAAGTTGCTGTCCTTTTGTTCTTCTGTCTAGTTGTGGAGGACGTTGCTTCACTGGCCCAAGTTGGTGCCATCATTGCGCTCTTCCCAGGTGAGGCAGATCAGTCGCTGGCTTCTGGAAAGCTGCTCACGGTGGCTGCTGGCTGCTCATGCTGGCTGCTGGCTACACACGGTAGCCCATGGCAACCCACTGCAGCAGGGGCAGGCAACTCACAGCAGCCCAGCTCCAGGTTGAGCTGTTGTTCAGCATCTTAGCTGTGGAGGGCAGTGTTACTGGCCCTCATATGTGGGATCCGAACCGGGGCCCTCTGGCGTCCCAGGCCAGCTCTTCACCAACGCGCCACTCAGCAGGCCCTGTCCTTTAGATCTTCAGTCTAGTTGTGGAGGACGTTGCTTCACTGGCCCATGTTGGTATTGTGATCATTGCACTCTTCCCAGCTGAGGTAGATCGGTTGCCGGCCATTGCACAGCCACTCATGGCAGCTCATGCCAGCTGCGGGCCGCTCACGCTGGCTGTAGGCCATTCACAGTAGCTTACGGCAGCCCACTGCAGCCCCACTGCAGCCTATGGGTCTCCGGCGACTCATGGCAGCCCATCTGTAGGTCGAGCTGATGTTCACCATCTTAGCTGTATTAGTTGTAGAGGGCGCAGCGTCACTGGCCCATGTAGGATCTGAAACAGGGGCCCTGCTGCTCAGAGCTCGCACTCTTAAGCCAGCTCTTAACCAATGAGCCACTCCGCCGGCCCTGCATACCGTTTTAGATAGAATTTACGATTTGTTTTATTTTCACACACTTGATTTCTTCTTCTATAAACTTGATAAAATATTTCAAACTACAGAAAAATAGAGAATAACATTATTCTTGGCTTGTCAAATCTTGATGCTACATTTGCTGCAGATAAGCATTTTTTAGTTTCTTGAATAGTTAATGCATATATAGTATAGATAAAGTATAGATAGAGCTAAGTCCTCATCCCACCCTGTCCCATATGCCCAGTTCCCATCCCCACAGGTGTTAGTTTTATATTTTCCCCCAGTCTTGTGCGCACGTGCACATTTGTATATAGAAGCAAATACATAAATATATTTAGACTCGCTTAAAAAAAAATTAAGAGTAACAAATTTTTGACATTTTTCTGTGTGTCTACACTGCTAATACTCTTTGTTGTTGTTATTGTTGTCAAATGATCTTTAATTGAAATATTTTCCTTTGTAGTTCTTAATTAGCTGGGCATTCTACTGCACCACGGTTGAACTCTTTAATAGTTTCAGAGAGTTCACTAGCTAAAGTTTGGTGCCCCATCTGTTGGGCAATGTTGACAATCTCAGCAAAAGTGATATTTCCACTGTGCTTAATGTTTTTGTTGCTTCTCTCTGTCTCTTGGTGGTTCTTTGATGATCAGAGCAGAGGCAGAAAGTACTACCTCAGTCTGGGCCTGTCTGTTCTGAATGATTAGCTTCACTGTCATCCTCAGACCCTTCTAATCACTGGTTGCTTTGGCAATGTCATCACCAAACTTTTTTGGAGACACACCCAGGAAGCCGATCTTGGGGGCCAGGGCAGACATGGCACCGACTTCCCCACCAGTGCATCTCAGGAATAGAACTTTTATCTCATTGGGGTCAAACTCTGCGGCATGATGGCGGCTGCTGTTGGATGAACCTGGATTCGGGATGACGGAAGCAAGTTGCACCTTGGCCTCTTCCGAAAGCTGAAAGCCTAACACTAACTCTATACCACCTCTTTTCTCAGCTCATTATTCAATAAACAATTAATAAAACTTCTACGTCCAAGGAATTCTGTTAACTCTGAAAAATCGGTAGTTCTTCATCAAATTTCCTGCCTCTATCCTTTCTACTCCTTCTGATGCAGGGGCTCAGGTGGTCCCTGTAATAGGAGCTCTGCGGCTGGAGCACAGAATGCCTCGGAGATGCCCTGCCCCCATCTTAGTTGGCTTCCCTTTTTCCTTAGCCCAAAGTTAAACAGTAAATCACACCCGCTGCTGCTGAGCTCAGAATGACTCCGGAATGTCCTGCCACGTTCTGGCTCCTTATCTTAGATCACCTTGTAGATGCTTGCAAACTACAAACTCTATCGTTAAGCATTTTTCCCAGTTTAGCATTTCCCCCAGGTTACTCCCCCACCGTTCCCGGATCGCTGGTGCCACAAGAGATACAATGACAGAAGGGGGGCGGTCATTAAAGGAGACCAAACCTCCGGGACTGTTATGCAGCCTCTGAGAGGGTGCCCTAATTTTCCCTTAAGTAACCCCAGCAGGTCTGAGAATATTAAGGCAGTCTTCCGAGGTGTTAACCTGCGGCCTTCTCACACGACCCTACTCCCGTGTCAATCTACAACACATTGGCTGAGCGGCGAGGGCAGCACGAACCCCGCGACTCGTTTGTCCTCTGGTTACACATCCACAGTCCAATTTTCTAAAAAACTGAGGCCTATTTTCAAAGTCTAAAGGCGCCTTGAGCGTAACAAAGGTGAACTTTATGCAAAAAAGGAGGCTTAACTCCTCTGAGGACTTGAGGAGGAAGGAAGCCTTGGAGAATGAGGATGCTGGGATGGGCTGAGCCCTGGAGAGGCAGTCGGACGCGAGTAGGCGGGACCTGTGGACGCGAGTAGGCGGGACCTGGGGAAGTGAGTAGGCGGGACCTGGGGACGCGAGTAGGCGGGGCCTGGGGAGGCGGGTCCGCAGTACCCGCTTGGGCGGTGCCCAGATTTGGCGCCAAACACGGAGGGCTCTTCTCGCGGCGGGAGCCCTGGAGTCTCGCGAGCAGCGTTGTTTGCGGGCCGCGCCAAGCACGGTGCTGTGGCTGCTGCGGTCTGCGTGAGGTGAGCGTGTGCTGGCGGGAGAGGGACGTTCTGGAGGGCAGAGGCGGCCGAGGGAATCAGGTGGGGGCGCCGGGCCGCCGGGCAGTCAGCAGGGAGGGAGCGAGGGGGTTGGAGGGCAGCGTTGAGGCGGGCTTCGGCTGAGCGGATCCGGAGAGGCGGCCTGACTGGGAGAGAGACCTGTGGGGAAAGGAGGCAGGTGGGGGAGAGGGTGCGCACATTTACTGCTTGTTTATGTTTCGAGTCTGCCTCTCACTAAACCGAGCCTTTTAGCGGGAGGGAACGTGTATCAGATGCGATGTTGTGTGGCCAGCGTCGGTCCCGGGGCCTCTAAAGACACAAGGCGTCTCGTGAAGATGGAATGAAGTCGAAGTGAGAGAATAGACGGGAAACGACGATGAGAGGGTTGGAGAAGGGGTGGGATGGGAAATTTAGTGTTTTTAGGGAGGCCTGTTAGCAAAGAGGGACATGGAGCCGGTGCGGTAGGACTTCCCTGGTGAACGGGGCTTCTGTTTTTGATGACTTGGGAAAAGTTGGACATGGGACTCTTGAGGATCTAGGAACGAGTTGTAGTTTGGACGTTAAATTTCTTTGTTATCTTCACTCTTCTGGGAGTTCGAGGACCAGAGAAAGAAGTTAAGAGAGTTTTATCAATGGCTAAAAAGATACAGTGCGCAACCATTGTCAAGAAGTGAAAGACAGAGATAGTCACTGGTTACGGAGGAGCCCCATCCTATGCTTGGCCAGTTCCTTAAGTTGCATCTTGGCCACACTTAATGCAGTTTGTGCCCTGTCTTCGAATTCAGAGCTCCCTCTCCGCCTCAAAGGTGTGAACCCCGTTTCTTCCCAGAGGGCTTAACTAGAATGGGGCTAAATACGTTTATTGTAGGTAGGAAGCTACTTATGAGTATATGACTTCGAACTGCCTTTCCAGTTTGGAAAAATCTATGTTTTTTGAGAACCTTACTTGAAGATACAGTGCGTCATCATCAGGACTTGATACTTGTTTTGTTTTTATGTACTTATGGTCATGGAAATTTAGAATTGGAGAGACTAGAGTTCCTCTAGATCCAGTAGTTTTACAGTTTGGGGGAAGCTTTGGAATTCCTTTCTTCATTCCTTCATTCAACAGATATTGGTTGAGCATCTTCTGTTTACCAGCTTTGGGGATACAGTGGTGGAGCACAGAGACCTACCGATCTATGTCTTTGCCTTTTTAAAGCTACAGTTTAGTATGAGAGACATATTAATCAAATAGAACTTAATATTGAAACTGGGTAAGTGCTATGAAACTTGTATTTGATACTTGAATGTTTATTATAGGAGGATTTAATTTAGGGAAATTGGGATAGACTTTTCTGTGAAGCGATAGTTGAGATCTGAAAGAGACTAGGAGTCAAGGTAGAGCCTTCAAGATAGGAAAGTCCTTTGCAAAAGTCTAGCGGCCTGAGGAATGACTCTTTCAAAAAACCAAAAGAAAAAAGCATGGCGAGTGGTGAAAAGTGAGGCTGGAGAAGTAGGAGGTGCCAAACCATGCAGGGCCTTGGAGTTTTATTATTATCCTAAGAGCAGGAGGAAGCCACTGAAATATTTAATCCAAATGGTAATGTGATCAGCTTTACATTTCCCAAGGTTCAACCTAGCTGTAATATGGAGAATGGATTGGAAGAGGCAAAACTAGATAGGAGTAATGCAGTAATCCAAGTAGAAATGTTAGGAAGTGGTTGTAGAGACGGGGAGAAATGGACAGATTCAAGGGATATTTAGGAAGTAAAATGGACAGGATGTGTAGGGTGGGGGAAGGAAGTGTCAAGGATGACTTGTAGGTTTCTTTTTTTCCCCTTTTTTAGCTGAGCCATCCTGCCACCTCTTGGCAGCTCAGCAGCAGCTCAGCTCGGGCCGGGAATTGAACTGCTGTTGCTCAGAGCTCACACTCTTGAGTGAGCTCTTAACCCACTAAGCCACTCGGCCAGTCCGAATGACTTGTAGGTTTCTGACTTGTGTAGCTGGATAGATGACATTCAGTGAATTGGGAAAATTAGAAGTTCAGTTTTGTACATGATGAGTTATAGGTGCCTTTGAGAAATTTAAGAGCTGTAAAATGAGAAGTTGGGATCTGGAGCCTAGATGGAAATAAAAAATTAGTGAGTCATCTGTAAATGTTTATTAAAGCCATGCGCATGAATGAATAAAGAGGGCCTAGGATAGAGTCTTGCCGACCAGGTTAGAGGAAGATGAATCTTCAAAGAAGTTCCAGAAGGAGTGCCCAGAAAGGGAGGGAAAACCAGGTGAGTACTGTGTTTCAAAAGCTAATGAAAAAACTTTTTCAGAAAAAGGAACTGATCAGAAGTGTCAGATGTTGCTGAAAGGTCAAGTAAGATGGCACTGAAAAGTATTCTTTCAAGTTATCAACCCGAATATTAATTCTCTTCAAAGGAAACCTTACCTAGAAGATCAGTATGTAAACAGATTATTGTTAAAAGCTGTTCTAGTTGAAGTAGGGGATGAGGTACCTGTACCCTGTGTATTTCACACCCATTTGGACCACAGTTTGAAACCCTCTGAAGAGTCCAAATTATTTTATGATAGAGGAAACTCAACAGTTGAGGTGAAATGATTGGTTCAGAATCATATTGTTATTTAGTGGTAAGGTCTACATTAGAACTCAGTTCTGATTTCTAACCCAGTTCTATTTTTTTTAATTTTTTTTATTAAGATTTTTATTGGGGTATTGGGAAGGGGAACAGTGTTGGGGAATTGGGTAAGGGGAACATTGTGATTTTTCCAGGACCCATCAGCTCAAAGTCAAGTTGTTGTCCTTCAATCTTAGTTGTGGCGGGTACAGCTCAGCTCTAAGTCCAGTCTCTGCTTTCAGTCTAGTTACAGAGTGGGGTAAGGGGGATGGGGAGGTGGGGCGCAGCCCACTATCCCATATGGGAGTCGAACTGGGAACCTTGTTGCACACGGAGCCATCCGGCCACCTGTCGGCAGCTCGCGGCTGCTCAGCTCAAGGTGCTATGTTCAATCTTAGTTGCGGGGAGAGGAAGGGGGTGGCCCTGCCCACCATCCCATATGGGTGTCGAACCGCCAACCTTGCTTCTAAGAGCACACGTTCTCACCAGCATCTCAGCTCAGGTGCAGCTCGCTGGCCCATGTGGGAATTGAACCGGCGACCCTGTTGCTCAGAGCTTTCGCTCTTAACCAACTGAGTCACTTGGCTGGCCCCAATTAGTTCTTTTTTCCATAACTTATCATCTCTACTTTTCATCATGTATGAGTTTGAAATATGGTTTAACTGACTGAAACACATGAATTTTGCTGCAGGTAGAACTTCACTGTGTAACAGGAAGACTACTTGGATAAATAAACATGTTTACTTTTTTTCACAGAGGAAAAGATGCTGGAACCACAGGAGAATGGCTTGAGTGATCTACCAGATGATGAGAATGTAGATGAAACTTTCCCAAATCCTTTCCCACCTCCAGCTTCTCCAGAGAGAGATGGTGAAGGAGCTGAACCTGATGAAGGTCTGTATAGAGATTGAAAAAAGTGTCCATGTTCAGTTATCCATCTGTTGTCTTAGAAATGATACATTTTATAGATGACACTTAAGTTATTTAAGTAATAATAAATGTTGGTATATTTCATCCGAGTCAGGAAGAGAAGTACTTGTTCCTGTACCTCCAAAGAGAACAGTTAAAAGGAATATACCCAAGCTGGATGCTCAGAGGTACATTTACTATTTTCTTAAACACTTATACTTTTTCATTACATCTTTTTAGGTCAGCTGACATTTTCAGGTCAGCAGGTAATATTTTTTATGGTCTTGGTTTGGCCTTGATGGCTTTAGAAAACTTGTAATTAAAAACATATTTCTATTCACAGATTAATTTCAGAGAGAGGGCTTCCAGCATTGAGGCATGTGTTTGATAATGCAAAATTCAAAGGTAAAGGTCATGAGGTAAGAAATGTCTGATTTTTATTTTAGACTTTTGTTTTTTAAAATAGTCATCCCTCAGTATCTGAGGAGCATTGGTTCAAAGACCTCTGTGTATTCCACAGATGCCCAAATCCCTTATATAAAATGGTGTCGTATTTGCATATAACCTATATGCATACTTTAAATTATTTCTAGATTACTTGTAATACCTAATACAATGTAAATGTTATGTAAATAGTTGTTATACTGTATTGTTTAAGGAATAATGATAAGAAAAAAAATCAGTGCATGTTAAGTACAGATGCAACCATCATAGGCCTAGGTACTCGTACATAGCACATGTCAGCAACAATGTAACAGTTTCTTTCTGAATATTTTCAATCTGCAATTGGTTGAATCCCCAGATGTGGAACCCGCGGATATGGAGGGCCAACTATATAAAACTGGGCTTATTATCATGTCCTTATTATCATGTCCTTAGGAATTTTGGAATGTTTCACAGATACTATTCATTATCATCTTTTATAAAACTATAATATTGTGGAAAGGGCACTGTTTGAAGAATCAGAAAACATGTAGTCTCAGTTTTGTCACAGTATGGCTTTAGGAAAATCACATCAGTCAGTAAGCCTGAGTTTGTACTTGATAATTTTGAGGAATAAAATTTATTCCTCAAAGACTGGTTTTAAACTTCATGAGAACAAGGACTTTACTTGTATTGATGGCTTATGTGTCACCCAGATATGGCACTATGGTTCCTAATTGGCATCAGTTAAATTTTGTTGGAAAATGGAGACATGTAGGAACTGTCAATCACTGGACAAACATACATTTAAAAATTTTCTTATCTTTGAAAATCATATAGAGTGTAGATATAATTTTTTGCAGATAATATCTTTATAGAGCTTTGCAGTTTATGAAGTATTTTCAAATGTGTTATTTTAATTCTTACCTGTGAGGCAGATGTTTGTCCCATTATCTAATTAAGGATATTGAGTTTTAGAGTTTTAAGTGTCCAGTGCCGACAGGGCAGAATCTAAACTTCTCATTTTATAGCCCAGCTAGAATAATGTTCATTCAGCATTGAGCACCATCTTGGTGTGGGATGCAGGATAATTGGGACGAGGCCGGAGGCAGACAGCAATTCAGAGGCTGTTGCACTACCAGTGGAACCAGGTGAAAATAGCTTGGGTAGTGTAGACGTAAGTGAACAACATGGTACTTCTAGTTGATTGGCTATAGGGAGGTGAAAAAGGAGTCAAAAATAATCCTAAGATTTTAAACCTGGGAGGCTGAAAACTTGTAGTACGTTTGCTCAGCTTCATTAAACAGGAAGATAACATAAGCTTGTGTCCTATTTTGCCACAAAACTAAATGTAAATCAGGATATATTAAAACCATACCCAGTTTAGTTAATTCATTGCTCTTGTTGAAATTTCCAGGTAGTAATGATGAATTGGTGCTTTGAATTTATGAAGTCTTCATCATTTTCGTAATAAGATAAACTTAAATGAAAGATAAATGTTTTGAGTTTCACTGGGTGAGAGTGGGCTCTGAAAGAGTTTATCTAGAGTTCTGTACTCTGCTCTTGAAAATTCTTACATTCTTACTATTTTCTCACAGAGTTGAATCCTCACTGTCTTTTTCTTCATGTATGACTTCCCATTGTATTTAGGTATTTCTCTTGTGTCCCTTGGGTCTAGCATGACATTGTGAGGTGGCTGACCAGTTACCCTCAACAATTGGAAAATGATCTTAAGTGATTGAGTTTTTAAAACAATTTTTATCTTTGTTACTAGAATGAGAATGACAAGCCAATACGCTCTCAGTATTACATATTTAGTAATTGGTAGAGTTGATTGTCTTGACTTTTGGCTTCTTAGACAAGATTAAATAACAACAATAATTGCCAACATTTGAGTGCTCACTTTGTGTCAGTGCTTTACTTGTATTACTTAATCTTCATAATAACCTGATGAGGTATGTATATTATTCTCATTTTATACATGAAGAAAAAGGCACAATGAGGTAAAGTAATTTGTTCACAGTCACAGCTATTAAGTGGTAGAACTGAGATTTGAATGTATGTAGCCTTTGCTTTTTTTTTAAAGATTTTATTGGGGAATTGGGGGAGGGGAACAGTGTTGGGGAATTGGGGAAGCGGAACAGCCAAGTTGCTGTCCTTCAATCTTAGTTATGGAGGGTGCAACAAGCTCAGTTCCAAGTCTAGTTGCGCTGCTGCTCAGCTCAAGGTGCCAAGTTCAATTAGTTGCAGGTGGGCGTAGCCACCATCCCATGCGGGAGTTGAACTGGCAGCCTCGCTGTTAAGAGCATGCGCTCTTATCCCCTGAACCGCCCACGCGGCAGCTCAGTTCAAGGTGCTGAGTTCAATTTTTAGTTGCGGGCGGGCATAGCAGCAACCATCTCAAACAGGCAACCTTGTTAGGAGCACGTGCTCTCACCAGCTGAGCCATCCTGCCACCTGTTGGCAGCTCAGTGGCAGCTCAGCTTGGGCACAGCTCACTGGCCCATGTGGGAATCAAACCAGCAACCTTGTTGCTCAGAGCTTGCGCTCTTGAGCAAGCTCTTAACCAACTGAGCCACTCGGCCGGTCCTGAGCCTG